AGGGAACTGGGTCATTCCCAATGACATTATCAAGCCCTTGTAAGAATGTGTCAAAAGACAAAAATTACAATACATTTAATTTAAATAATTTTATTGGCTTTAATTGTGATTCTAGAATTGGACAACATTTCAATTCATAAAATAGAATAAGTGTTCCAATGGGCTGAGCAGAAGAGTTTACCATTATAGACAGAGAAGGGCTGAAGTAAGCAGAAACAAAGAACAAAGAATATATTAGTTACTTTTAGACAGAAGAATAGAAAAATAACTCATTAAATAACAAGTTATTTTACGCTACCGTTTTTTCGGTGAATAAGGATTAAAGCAGAGGAAACTTAATTATTATGCTGATTAAAGATTTTAAACTGGTCTGTTTGGGTAAGTGTTATTTCCCTCTATTCTAATTACTAAGTCACTTATCAAGTTAGTTCAGGTTTGATGAAGTGGTATTTCAGCATAGCTGAGTCCGTTTTTAATTTTAATCTGGTTTGTTGGGGCCTAGTATAGGAGCTGCATCCAAAACAATGACCTCCTATAATTTTTATATAAGAAATCATTGATAGTACTGCATGGCAGATTTTATGTTAGGTATAAGTGTTAAATTGGGGGCAAGATATGTAATTTTTATTGCTTTCAAGAACAAAACTATAACCAGTGGACCAAAGTCTCAGTGAGCCAGATTTGGATTTAATAGAAATCAGAACTCTCTAACAATTGTAATATTTTAGTAATGGAGTGTGTCACCTTCCAAAGACATTAGTTTCCTATCCATTACAATTTTCAGAAAGAAGTAGGAATACCATAGAAGAGATTCCAGCACTGCATGGAAGGTTAAGTGAGATGGAAAGAAACACATAGTGTTTATTTTACAGTAAGGTTCTAATATCAATTTTCAACAAATAGGGTCTGTGATATTGTGATAAGAAATATATATTTGGTGTCTGTACCTATTTTTGTCACAGAGCCCCTAAAGCCCTTGGAATTTCCTAAGTGATAAGAGAAGGTGAATAGAGTATCTTTTGTTATTCATAACAAGCTATTTTCAACCACACCTGGGTTATGTTAATGAGGTGATTCTGGAAAGCCCCTGGATAATCACAGGATGAAGGCTGGTTGCCAGGGCACCCAACCATGTAATTGAAGTGAAGGTAGAGAGCCTGGAGATTAAATTAAGCACCAATGGCCAATGATTTAATTAATCATGCCTACATAATGAAGCCTCCATAAAAACTCAAGAGAATGAAATTTGGAGAGCTTCCATGTTGGTGAACAGGGTGGTTGTGCGGGAGGGTGGTATACCTGAAGAGTACCTTGGAGCTCCACTTGCCTTCCCCATACCTCCTCTTGTTTGGGTGTTTCTGAGTTGTATCCTTTAAGATAAACACATTGTGAAAGTTATCAGATTCAAAATGGATTCATGTTTATTTTTTAAAAATCTGAAAATTAGAGCCAGGGAAGGCTATGAAAAGAGGGTTCATATGCATAAATGCCTGATGACAAAAACTATCACAAATGACTTTCAAAAACAACCTTGCATAAAGGCCATCACAACCTTACACAAAAACTACTTCTGCAAGGACATGTTTCTAGCAACTGGCTAACTTCAGACTGGTATCGCTGTTTTTATTGATCTTTATAGACAAGGATAATTATCTTAATTACCTCAAAACCACTGTGTAATCTAGCTCATTTTTTCTTTAAAATCCTTTGTCTTTTTTTTTTTTTTTTTTGAGACGGAGTCTCGCTCTGTCACCCAGGCTGGAGTACAGTGGCGCAATCTCGGCTCACTGCAAGCTCCGCCTCCTGGGTTCACGCTATTCTCCTGTCTCAGCCTCCCCAGTAGCTGGGACAACAGGCGCCTGCCACCATGACTGGCTAATTTTTTGTGTTTTTAGTAGAGACGGGGTCCTTTGTCTTTTTTTAACTCTCTGAATATGCACATGGTTTACTATGGCACATGTATTCTCATTGCAATGCTGTATTCCCAAATAAATATCATTTTCTTTTAAATAGCCTCTCTCTGGTTTTTTAGGTTGAACATAAATGGTGTCAGAAGTGGGATCTGAAGAAAGATTATTATCAAAAGGAATTGTTAATATTTGGAACTGGTATGCAGTACTCATTTGAGCCCTTTCAGCTCTCTGCTTCCACAACTCAGCTATTCTGCCATTGTGAGTCTTCTGTCAGGCCCAGCTTCCTTCTTTTTGTTAGAAGCTCCTGACTGTTTTGCTGTTGTTGTTGTTGTTGTTATTGTTGTTGTTGTTGTTATAAGCCAACTGAAATGAAGAACCTTGCATCCTTCCTGGGATAATAAAATACTTTTTATCTTTCTGACAAGTCCTTTAGGGTATAAGGACAAGCGTTATTCTGGTTTGAGCACTCTGGATTCACATAATTTACATTCTATCTTTGAGTAGTATCGTTCTTAGTGAATTTACTTTTAGTCCTTTCTGTTTGCCTACTTTAGTATTTTGCTTTTATTTTGGGTTGGTTATGTGTATCTGTAAATAATTTGGTTCTTTTCTGTTACTTATTTCAAAATTTCTGAAAGCAAAAACGAATATTCTAAATGGTGGGTGCAGGATGGCTAATTAAAAGTCACTGCCATGGCCACTGCCATCTAAAACACTGGTCCAAAAGGATTTATAAAAATATCTTTGCTTTCAAGAGATTAATGAGAAATAGAATGGAATTCTCAAACATTAAGGCATGCCAAGGGTTTGTGGAACTCTAGCTGACTACATATTATGACCTGTTCTCATGCACATTTTTAAACTGATGGGCAAATTACATCAAGAAAAACTCAAGGCTCAATTGGTCATTATTCAAACTCTCTAAAAATCCCCTGCAATTACAGAATTAATGTGTAGAAGCTTCCTAACTCTCTCTATCCCTCTGTTTTATTTTTCTGCCTACTTTGAATCTGCTAACTTTTCTACTGGTGTTGAGATAAAACTCTCTGCTTACAGCTCTTCAGTTAAGACTTTTAAACAGTCTTAAAGGGCTTTCAAATTAATGTCTTACAAATTAAAACACTTATGTTATAAACAACAAGTTAGGCACATTTTTTAAATGTAAATTTAAATAAACCTATTAGTCAGGTTTGCCTAACAATTGCTTAGGATGACAGAATAGCTAACTGAAGGATTGATACTATGAAAGAAAATAAGTAGATAAGTGCTTATAGAAGTTAAGATCACACATGATCAAACAGGTCAAAACCTTCAGCTCACAGTAATAATATAAGGTATCTCTATCTATCATAAAAATTGCTTTGTCTGCCTCATAGGAGCCAAAAAGAAAACCAACCAAACAAAAAAACGACCCTGCTAAAATACTTCTCCATCTGCATTCATTATTCAAGCAAATCCAACTAGCCAACAAAAAATAGATTTGCTACTAAAAGTTATGGCTATTTAGAGATTTTATTTTCCTGATACAATTCAGCCAGTCCTAGCTAAAATGTAAATATTGAAAACTGAAACCTCCAATCATTTGAAACTGAAAAAAAAGGTCTTTCAAAACCAAACCACAATGGAAACTGCTTTGCCCAATTTTGATCCATATCCTTCATTAGATTGCCTAATGGGGTAAATAAAGGTTAACCATGTGATATAGTTTGGCTGTGTCCCCACCCAAATCTCATCTGAATTGTAGCTCCCACAATTCCCACATGTTGTGGGAGGGACCTGGTGGGAGGTAATTGAATCTTGGGGTTCAGTCTTTACTGTACTGTTCTCCTGATAGTGAATAACTCTCACAAGATCTGATGGTTTTATAAGAGGGAATTTCCCTACACAAGCTCTCCCTTTGCCTGCTGCCATCCATGGAAGACATGACTTGCTCCTCCTTGCCTTCTGCCATGATTGTGAGGTATCCCCAGCCATGTGGAACTGTAAGTCCATTAAACTTCTCTTTTTCTTCCCAGTCTTGGGTATGTCTTTATCAGCAACGTGAAAATAGACTAAATACAGTCAATTTGTACCTAGGGTAGGGTGCTGCTGTAGATACCCGAAAATGTGGAAGCAACTTTGGAGCTGGGTAACACGCAGGGGTTAGAAGTTTGGAGGGCTCAGAAGAAAACAGGAAAATGTGGGAAAGTTTGGAACTTCCTAGAGTTTGTGGGAAAGTCTGGAACTTCCTACAGACTTGTTGAATGTCTTTGACCAAAATGCTCATAATAAGGACAATGAAATCCAGGCTGAGGTGGTCTCAAATTGAGATGAGGAACTTGTTGGGAACTGCAATAAAGGTGACTCTTGCTATCTTTAGCCAAGAGACTGGTGGGATTTTGCCCCAGGCCTAGAGATTTGTGGAACTTTGAACTGGAGGGAGATGATTTAGGATATCTGGTGGAAGAAATTTCTAAGCAGCAAGACATTCAAAATGTGACTGGGGTGCTGTTAAAAGCATTCAGTTTTAAAAGGGAAACAGCATAAAATTTCAGAAAAATTGCAACCTGACAATGAGATAGAAAAGAAAAACCCATTTTCTGAGGAGAAATTCAAGCCAGCTGCAGAAATTTGCATAAGTAACAGAGAGTCAAGTGTTAATCACCAAGACAATGGGGAAAATGTCTCCAGGGCATATCAGAGACCTTTGCAACAGCCCCTCCGGTCATAGTCCCAGAGGCCTAAAAGAAAAAAATAGTTTCGTGGGCCAGACTCAGTGCCCCTCTGCTCTGTGCAGCCTAGGGACTTGGTGTCCTGCATCCCAGCTGCTCCAGCCATGGCTAAAAGGGGCCAAGAAACAGCTTGGACTGTTGCTTCAGAGGGTACACACCCCAAGCCTGGGCAGCTTCCACGTGATGTTGAGCCTGTGGGTGCATGGAAGTCAAGAATTGAGGTTTGGGAACCTCCACCTAGATTTCAGAAGATGTATGGAAAAGCCTGGGTGTCCAAGCAGAAGTTTTCTACAGGGATGGGGCCCTCATGGAGAACCTCTGCTAGAGCAGTACAAAAGGGAATTGTGGGGCTGGAGCCCTGACATAGAGACCTTACTGAGAGCTGTGAAAAGAGGGCCACCATCCTCAAGATCCCAGAATGATAGATCCACCAACAGCTTGCACTGTTCACCTGGAAAAGCAGCAGACATTCAATGCCAGGTCATGAAAGCAGCCAGGTGAGGAGGCTGTACCCTGAAAAGCCACAAGGGCAGAGCTGCCCAAGACCATGGGAACCAACTGCTTGTATCAATGTGACCTGGATGTGAGACATGGAGTCAAAGGAGATCATTTCAGAGCTTTAGGATTTGACTGCTCTGCTTCATTTTGGACTTGAATTTTGGAGTGGCTGTATTTACCCAGTGCCTATATCCTATTGTATCTAGGAAGTAACTAACTTGCTTTTGATTTTGCAGGCTCAGATGAGACATTGTACTGTGGACTTTTGAGTTAATGCTGAAATGAGTTAAGACTTTGGGGGACTGTTGGGAAGGCGTGATTGGTTTTGAAATATAAGGACATGAGATTTGGGAGGTGCTGGGTGGAATGATATAGTTTGGCTGTGTCCCCACCCAAATCTCATCTTGAAGTGTAGCTCTCACAATTCCCATGTGTTGTGGGAAGGACCTGGTGTAAGGTAATTGAATCTTTGGAGTGGGTCCTTTCCATGCTGTTCTCGTGATAGTGAATAAGTCTCATGAGATCTGCTGGTTTTATAGGGCACAAGATCTCCTTTTGCCTGCCACCATCCATGTAAGACATGACTTGCTCCTCCTTGCCTTCCTCTTCAGCCATGTGGAACTGAGAGTCCATTAAACCTCTTTTTCTTCCCAGTCTTGTGTATGTCTTTATCAACAGCTTGAAAATGGACTAATATACAATGTTAACAGAAATAAAATTTGTATCCAAATATCTTTTATAAACAGGTGAGTTAATATGTTTTACTGTGTCAAGACTAACATTCTGAATAAAAGCAATGCTATTTTTGGGTGTGTACATGTGTTTAGGTATATTTATGGACATGTACATGTATTAAGCTGTGTATTGTGACTTCACGGTAAAAACTGTTATAGTCAACCAGAAATCCCTTAAGAAATTCTATTCAGATTGGCTTTAATGCATTAGTGCTTATATAAACTGTATAGTCACCAACCCAAATGGCTTTTTGTTCACACGACTTGAGTAAATCTTTAAAAAGCTGGTTTTTATATTGTTGGTAAAATAAAAATAAATATCTTCAAAATAGCATACATTTTTGCCTGAGTTTACTCATCAGACAATTATATATTTGTCTCTTTTTAGGTGTCAAGGTTTGATACAAAGGTTATAAAACTATAAATTTAGCCTAACACTAAATGATCTTTGATTGTATAATTATTTGATAACTAAGGCTAATTTAATATTGTTGGTTTTAAACAAGAACAGGTATATCTTCTGAGTTACCAGAAAATATCCATATATTTTTTACTTAGGTTAAACACCTGACATTCACAGGGTATAAAAATGGTTAAGAGGAAAATAACTTGAAATGTTGACTAACTTTGTCTAATATCTTAGGTTTCATAAGTAATCTACTTATAATACTTAAAAATAAAGTAAGTAAATGTAAATGCACTAAATATTATAAATAAACTTTTCATGTAGTTTAAAATCTTAAATTGTGTTATGTTTTATTAAGTGATAGATTAACTATCTGGATAATTTCCAAATAAGATAAAAACTAAAATATATTACTGATAATAATATGTTCTTGACTTCTTAAAATTTTATAACAAGACTAAATATATCACATTATTTGGTGTATTTATACATATAACAATTATGTTATGAGGAAACAGGTTTCTAAAAACTGTAAAATGGTTTTCATCTATCAGATACTGATATGTGACAGTTCAAAATTGCTTGCTAAAAATTAAGGTTATTGAGAGTTATAACTAATTATTATATATATAATTCTGTATTTAAAGTGTACCAAAATGAGATTTTTTAATGACAGAAAAATTATAAGAAAGGCATACAAATGTATTCCTCATTGAGAAAAAATAATTTCATTGAATTCAGAGGTTATTTAAAGGTTGTTAAAAAATATAGATTTATGAAGGAAATAAATAAAGGTTGAAAGGAAAAAAATAGGAGAAAAATAAGTAAAGAAAGTTACAGACATGAAAATGTATTTTTTGTAAGGAAGGTTAAAAAAAGAAATAATTTTGAATGAGAAAGAATCTTGTATGATAAATTTTTGTCCTTAAGTGAATGACTGATTATTTAAGAAAGAGGAAGTACAGGACAAAGAGAAAGTCTAAACATGTTGTCAAAGGTTTGAGCAAGTCATAATAAGGTTCATGAAGGATACTTTGGATAAAATGGATTTTGTGTGGGACCAAGTTGACTATAATTAGCACTCGTAAACTTGGACATACTCTTCCTGTGTCTGATTAAATTCAAGTGCCTTTTTCATCAGTTTTGACTTCTGGTTTATCAAAATAGGCTTCCCAAAAGAAGGGGCAATCACATAAAAGTAGTTTTTTTTTTTTTAAACTTTTTTTGGTAACTGGACTAAAATATAACACATGTTTTATCAGGATAATTTCCTGTTTTATATTTATTAGTTTTTTGATTACTTAGAAATAGTGAACTTTGAAAGGCTCAACGTTTCTACATCCATGCACCTTTCTGTACTTCTTTTGAAGTCTTTCAATTACTATTCAGTTAACTGAATGACTATTATTTCAGTGATGTGTACTCTCACTTTAGTCAAATATTTTGAATGTTTTGATGTCTTAGACATGCTTCCCCAAGATAAACATTCTAAATTAAGTATTTTTGACCAAGGATTAACTTTGAGATTATCCACTTGGGCTCCTGTAGAGCATCAGAGAATATATCTCTCATCTTGTAGACATATTAAATTATTAGGTTTATTTAGTAAATTGTATGGAAAGCATTGTCAAATGATATGTCAAACCTTCTTTCAGTTACATTTATGGGTATGTCCTAAAATTACATAAAACTTTTAGTAATCAATTATGTAATCAGTCTTATTCTGGATATTATGTTTTATGGCACAAAATATTAATTTTTTTGTCAATTACTTATTATAATGAATGTCCATCAGATTTTCAACCATGGCTATTCTAAATTTTTGTCATCCACAGTTATTGCTTTAAATTCTTCTCTAAAGGCGTTAGCAATCAAATTCCTGGAAGAGACTCTGAAAAGTACTCTAAAATACAGTTTTCCACTAACTTTAAGATCAGTGGACTAAATTAAGTTTTTTCAAAACTCTAATGAAGAAACTGATGGGTTCATAAAACTTCTAATCATGCTCAAGCAGGATAAAAAATAATTACATGAGAGTGAATAACTGATAATGTTTTTTGACATTTAATTGAAACATTGTTGGTCCTTACTTAAACATTTTGTTTTTCATATTTAAGAAAATTTTCTTTGGTAAGCTATCTATAGTTTACAGCAGTTTTGTAAAGTATACTTTTTTGAACAAAGATAGAAACATTTGATTTGTATGCCTACTTGATTACTCCAAAATTTGAAAACTATTCCTTTGTATTCTTACGTCAATATGGTTATTTGCATGTCTAATAACAATCTGCTCTTTCTTTATGGCAATATACAACTGGTTATATTACCAAAATTTTGCATAAAATATTATATTTGAGCATGTGTATAGAACACCTGGCTTCAAGGGTTCCCAGCATCACAGTGAGTAAATAAAAACTGTCACTTCTGTGTAGGCTCAGAACTTTAAGACTGTAGCTAAAATTAAAATCTGCCTTAGTTTGGCTTCCTAATCTCAAAACGTTTTAAAATTTGAGATTCCTATGTGATCTATGTAGAGAGAAAAAGTTACGTTTTTAAAGAAAAGCTATAATACACCTGTTATTAGATTGCAATTCTATATACTGCTTTCAAATGTTTTTATCTACCTATAAACGAGGCTAGATCCTTAATCCTTCTATATTCCTCCAATAACACATTTTTTCATGAAGTTACTAAAAATGGAAACTGCTGTGCTCATAAAGCCCTGCAAGCTAATACTAGATGAATTTTAAGGAACAAGTATGGTGTCTGATGTATGGGCCACACAAAAAGTTCACCAAACTATCTGATGTCATACCAGAGACATTTAAACTACAAGCCAGGATGAGAAATTGATGTTTTCATGCTGTAGACAACTTTTTCCAAGACACCAAAACAAGGCTATATATTGTAACAAAACTCTTACCCTTCTCAACGTCTATCTTTTCTACCTGGCAGGGTAATAGTCATTTGATTTATTCAATTGGTTGCCTTTAAGCAGAGGTTTTAGGCTCAAAAACATTATGCAAACTGAGATTGACATATTACTATTAATTTTACTTTGTGTTTTCCCTTTTTAGACTCTATATTTGTTACTAGTTAAATTTTTGCAGAATTACAACCCTTAACAAAATATGCTGGGCCAGCACTTTGATAGCAAAAGACTATGAAACAGACAAAATTAAACTTATTAATGGACTCTAGGTAGACTTAGCCTCAGGACTACTCCTTTCAAACCTTTCATGTTGCTCAAATGTGGCTAAAAGGGTTTTGAAACTGAATCCAAAGCTATCAGTCACTCCCTCTGATGTGGGACTAGACTAACAAACTACTATAGGTCCATCCTGACCCCAAGGGACAATAAAAACCTAACTACAGATGATTGATCAGTGATGCTTTTGAAGAAAGATATTGATCAAAAGACGGAAATGTGAACATTGTCAGATCAAAATGGAGTCACTTGTGTTGAAAAAAAAATCCTGACAAATAGAGCTACGAAGTTTATAAAGAAAGGGTTTTTATGCATAAATGCTTGATAACCAAAACTATCACCAAAGACTGCCAAAACTGCACATTTGCACAAAGGCCATCGAAAACTATTTTCTGATACTTCAGCGAGGACATTTGCCCAACAATAGCATATCTAATTTCTGACTAGCATCACCCTTCTTATTGCTCCTTGTAGTCAAGGATAATTATCTCGAAACAATTATACAATTCACTTCAATTGTTTTTAAACTTTTGTCTTCATTTACCTCCTTGAATATATACATAGTTTATTATAGCACACATATTCCCATTGCAATGCTCTCTTTCTG